TGTGTGTGTGTGTGTGTGTGTGTTCAGATGATAAGGAGTTCGACGTGTACATTTCGTATGCGAGGAACAGTGAGGAGGAGCAGTTTGTTCTGTTGACGCTGCGCAGAGTCCTGGAGAACGAGCTCGGGTACTCGGTGTGCATCTTCGACCGAGACAGCCTGCCCGGCGGGAGTGAGTACTCACGTGTGCTGTCACACACACACACACACACACACTGAACAGGTGAACCAAAACACACGTCATCCATCCATCCTTTCATCCGTCCATCCTTCATTATCCCTCTCTCCCTGCAGCCATCACAGATGAGACTCTGAGTTTCGTGGCTCGCAGCAGGCGCCTCCTGGTGGTCGTCAGTCCCGGCTACGCCTCACAGGGCTCCCAGGCTCTGCTGGAGCTTAAGGCCGGCATTGACACCATGGCGCTAGCTGGGCACCTGCGGGTGATCCTGGTCCAGTACAAGCCGGTCCGGAGGAAGGGCTGGGTCAGGGAGCTGAGGCGGGCCCGGGTGGCTCTGGCGCTGGTCCGATGGCAGGGGGACAAGTCCAGAGAGCTGTCGTCACGCTTCTGGAAGAGGCTGAGGGTGGAGTTGCCCGTGAGGAGGGTTAGCAGCCGAGGGGAGGACGAAGAAGAGAGCAGTAAGGAGGTGGCGCTGATGAGGCTTCACAGTCAGAACAGTACAAACTCCCAAACGGGGCTGATCAGCAACACCGTCAAAGACCCGCAGAAAGTCCTGAATTCTGCAGCGTAGCAGCGGCTCTCTGAGAACAGTTACAGCTGATGGAGCTCAGCTGGAGAAGGCTCGTGGTTTCTCTGAATGAGAGTTATTATAGTCATGTTTGTGACCAGGACCGACTCAGATTTATTCATTTTATGAAACAAAGTTTCATTTTCCCTTTAAAGATATGAAACAGTCCGCAGCCATGCTAGCAGCTGTCAGTATTTACATCAGAAAACAAGCTAATGTTTTGACCAGTGTCGCATTATGAACAAACGGCACGTTTCAGCGTCCTGGGTTAATGAGACTGTGCTCCACCTCGTTTCCTCTGCAGGTGATGTTTGGCCAAAACCACTTACAGATACCCGCAAGGTTTCCTTTGGCCTCTGCAACGACACGCGATGTCATCGTGTGACTTGTTTTGGACAGAGTTGCAGTTTTAAACGTGGCAGTCACATTTTTAACCCAAAACCACAATATTTGCTGAAGCCGACCAAGTTCTTTATGCCTAAATGTAGCTGCGTAGTTCTTGGTGCTTAAATATAACAGTTTACTCTTGACTGTGGTTCTGTGGTTGACAAAGACCATGTGAGCACAGTAGTTTATTTATATGAACTATATAATCATTGACCAACAGGCTGCACAATAACCAAAACCTCCCAAATGGAACAAAATAGTTCAAGTAATTTAAAAACGGTTAAAAAAAATAACCGTTTTTTACAAAAACGTAAGGTAGAAAAAACGGAATAAATTCGTACATCTAGCTGAGAACAGAGGATTGGCTGCTCGACACCATCGGTGGAGGTCGAGCCCAGCACGTGCAGCTCAGAGGATAGACGTCCATGTATGTGTGAGTCATGTTTCACACTAATCATCTAACAGCTGTGCAGATATTTAAAAAGGAAAATGTAAATCTCCCGATGGTGCTTTGGGGAAAGGAGTTCATTAAACATCGACGTTCAAGCGTGGATGTTACCGTCCTTACTGCAAAGCTGCTAGCATGGCTAAAACGAGCTCCAGACATTTTTAAAGGGTTAGTTCGTCAGTTAAAATGCTGAAAGCGCCCCTAGAGGCTGCAGTGTTCATTACAACAACAGGAAGTCTGTGTTGTCAGTCCTGGAGCTGACGTCACGGTGCCGTTAAAGCTGGTCGCCCTCGAGAGCGGGAGGAGGACGATGCAGATGCTTCGATAGAAGTGTTCGTTTTACAGGTTTTCAATTTCACTCATTTTCATGTAACTTTGATATTAGCTGCCATTTCATCATCTACAGTATCCACTCATTATCACACGTGTCATTGTCACACGTGTCATTATCACGTTTGTGTATTTCATTTTGTTTGTTTGTCCAGAGTTAAAAACGTTTGTGTTTTCTAAACTGGTGCTTTATAAAAGAGGTTTGGTTTTACTTTAACAGTGTTTTGTGCAAACATGCACAAAATCGGCTTAAACACATGTTAATCAAATCGTAACACACAGTTAACACACTAATAGACTATAGAGGTGGATTAAAATCAAGTCCTGCATCATGTTAGCATTCAGTGTTAGGTTGATATGGGTTTATCGTTTTTTCTACATATCTTTTAAAAACCAATATCAGAACACAGTCACCTGTTGGTGGGACTCGTGGAGAGGTCAGGATAACAAAGTTGGTAAGAGTCATCCTCGGGGGGCGATGACCATCTATACAAAATTTATTCAAATCCACACAATGGATGCTAACACATCACATGTGCCACAGACGGGCAGCATTTCCATTTATATACGTGTATGTCCTCTGTAGCTGAATGTAGTCGTCATTTTAATTGGTTACAAAGTTACAAAAGAGCACAACACCTGCCTAATGAGCAGGTCACTACACAATCACCTGTAGTGTGTATGAAAGATACTGACTTATCTGAAAATACACACTAAATAACCACCAGGCAGTCGTAAAACTTAAAGTGCGACACAAACTGGAAATGAATAAAGTTTGCCTTCAAAGTAAAAGTACAACTTTTACTTTGAAGGCAAACATGGCAACAAGTGATTTCGTTACCGCTCAGTAGTTGACGGTGTTTTCAGACAAATCGGACGCTTTCATTCAACGTAGGTGCAGCTACAGCAATCTGTTAGCATCCAAGGTCTTTGGTACAACCAGTTTCACCCAGTAACAGCAACCTCCAGGAACCAGTCAGGGAACACCCACATTTTCTTAAAGACTGGTGGGTACGGTTACCTGTGTGATTTGTGCTTGCACACATGTGACATCGCTTGGATAGTTTTTGCACAGACCCCAGCAGAGAGGTAAAGCTGGGTATCATCTGCATAGAGTTATCGTATCGTGACCTCCTAAACAACACATTACAAAGAAAAACCAAGTATGGATTCATGCACTGCAGGTTTTAGACATCAGCATTGAGTAACCTGTTATTTGTTTGTTAATTACTGTGCACTTTCTTTATTTTCCACTTTATATTTGATATTTCAACAAAAAAATCAGCTCTGATTGTATATTTCTCTTACTAAAATATGCTACGCTATTTATCTCTAACCTAAACCATCAGTGTTGTAATGAGAGAAAGCATCCTGCACTTTGTCACGCTGTGAACTGGTTATTTTATTTCTGTTTTTTGGTATAAAAGTATTTTCCTTTCACCATCATTCATGTCAGTGTTTTTTATTTGATGTCTTCCATTTTCAGAATTACACACATAAAAATAAAACTATGCCTCGGTCGTAGCTTCCCTCCACACCATGAATGAATGAATGATATCTGATATTTTGTGGAGAACATAAAGACAATGTCTCCCAGTTTGATGTGTTTTGCAACTAAATGTCCAACATTGACATATCTCAGGTGAAGAATCAGTCCAGGTCCAGGTCTACTCTAAAACTGAATCCCTTTAATGTTATGGTGAAATGTTTATGCAGATCTATCCGTAGCATTTACGGTAAATCTGGAACAATCAGACAAACTAAAGTCAAAGGAGCTTGCAAAGAAAAGCGTCTGGACGACTTCTTCAGTTCTAAGGTCAAATGGTGGGGAGTCCCAGATTTAAACCTAGTGGGAGTTTCCCCCCACAGAGGGACAAAAGGACCCCCTGATGATCCTCTAATCTACTCTACTCACATCCTGGGACATCTGACCTCAGGAATTCACATGATGAGGTGGGGCCAGGTTTCACAATGAGCTCACCTGAAACTCTGGCTGATTGGGACCCACACCCAGTTTCACACCTTGGCTCAGGCGATTAGAGGATCATCAGGGGGTCCTTTTGTCCCTCTGTGGGGGGAAACTCCCACTAGGTTTATATCTGGGACTCTCCACCATTTGACCTTAGCACTGAAGAAGCTTCTCGGATGAGAGGTGAAACGTCTTCAAGCAACTTAAAGAAGTCCAGACACTTTTCTTTGCAAGCTCCTTTGACTACGATGACCTGGATGACTGAGAACCTTCACAGACAGACAAACTAAAGTTGCCACGTCTCCTTCGTGGCAGAGCTAAAACTACCCGTGTACCTGTGGATGTAAGCTGAACCTTGAGCTGCAGTCCTTGAGTCTTTTTGTCTGTCCCCTGTCAGACCTATCAGAGGCCATCCTGCAGTCAATGCAGCGGAGCCGCCGCCTCCTCTTCGTTCTCAGCCCAAACTTCCTGGCAGAGAAGAGCTTCGGTCTCCTGGAGTGTCGTCTCGGCCTGTACCTCGAGAACAGTCTCCGAGCCTCTATTATCGCTGTGGTTTACCGCTCAGTCAGCAAACTGGCCTGTGTGGAGGTCCCTCAGCTCCGTCAGGCCACCATCACCACCGTCACGTGGCGAGGAACCCGATCTGAACCGCGGCGCTCTCGCTTCTGGCTCAGGCTGAGGCTGGCACTGCCCGTCCGCCCACTCGCTCTGGGCAGGAGGTTGATCGACAGCACGTCATCGCACTCAGACCTGGCTGCCATGGCCCTGCAGAGGGCTCAACGGATCCAGAGCCAGAGCGACAGAACCAATCAGGGCCGCCGAAACGGGCGTACCAATGTTAGCCGCAGAGACAGGCGGACGCGGCCCAGAGGGTACCTCAAGAGAGGGGTCGTAAATATGGAGGAGGGGCCACAGCACAGCAGGAGCTGCTCAGGGTGCGCTGGGTTTATGGGTAATGTAGAGGGGGCAGGGGTGGAGCTTACAGTAGAGACGCAAACACAGCCGGAGCCATGCGACAGGACCGAGGTTCGTTCAGACCCGGTCCCAGAAACACACCCCAACCCAGTTCCTAACTCCGCCCATGATGCTCACTGCTCTCCTAACTCCACCCCCATACACCACCTAGATTCTGACTCCGCCCTCACTATCAGTCCGGAGAACAAAATGGGGAAACACAACCAGCAGCAGGCGGTGAGCAGTCCGAGGATGTCTGAGGAAGTTCTGCCATCGTAGAGGGAAAAGGGGTGGAGCTTGTGGTGAAAATGGCACCAACTCCACCCTTTGATAAAGACCTTTGTTTCTAACTCAAAGGAGATGCTGCATTCAAATCATGTCAGGAAAATACAAGTGTTTGGGAGGTCAGAAGAAACATTAAGATGGGTTTGTCCTGAGGGAGGCGATAGACAGCCAGGGGTAATTCAGATCTTTAGAGTTCATCCTCTGGAGAGCAGGGGATCCGTATATTTCAGGATGATCTAAATGGCAGATCTTGAAGGTTTCGGAACTTCTGCAATAGTACAAGAACTACGCTTATGAACAAAAGTACTGGGTCACATCTCCTAATTATTCAATTCAGGGGTTGTCAGTTTGAATTGACGTAGGTGCTGTAACAGGAAACCATTGTTGCATTACTTCCCTCCTGTTTCACCACGCTTTCGGGGGTATTATTTCAAAGTGGAAGCTTTTAGGCACTCTGCCATGCAGTGACAGACTGTGTAAAGTAACTGAACGAGGTCTCGAGTGTTCGGGCGCACAGTTTGCAAAAGTCGCCGACGCTCTGTTGAGTCAAAGGCTGCAGCGCTCCAAAGTTCCTCTTGCATGGCCAAGCAGCTCTTACAGCTGTCTTACGTAGGAGGTCCCGTACTTTTGTCCATATTGAGGAAGTTAATACACCTTTTAATAAACCAGAGTATTGTTTCCCTTATTTGGTCTCTAGTAAAACTGCATCAAGCCACAGAGAAACGCTGCCTTAAGGACAAACTCAGGGACAAAGTTTTCAGTGTCTTTCCTTAATTCACAAGATTTACAGCTCACAGTGAAAACATGAAACCAACACATCAAAACACTTTGAATCTTTAAGGCTTTTATACGAGAATCAACCTCTAATAAAATGCTGAAGTGCCAAAATCTGCAGTTCCTCTAATGGCCTCTTGAGGCTCCAGCAGTGAGTCAGTCAGATGTTGAAATGTCTGATCTTACAGCAGAAATCAACGTGTTTACAAACGGTTTCGTTCTCTTTGGCTAACTCTCCTGTTTAAATGATCTTAAGGCTTAAAATTTGCATTGTTGGGGGTGTGGCCTCTTTGATTGACAGGTGGGCAAAGGGGCTGCTGCTGCTACACCCACTGACGATAAATGACAAGAACATGAGAACAATCCAGGTTCATGTATCATGGATGAAAGTAGCTCATCAGCCCGCCTCCACACGACAGGTGACGACAGCTGCTAACAGAATCACAGTTCACCTATAAAATAACTGGAAATGCCTTATTTTTATATATCTTACTTTAGTCTCTGTGTTTTCTAATAGAAAAGGAGTCCCTCGTTATTTATGTTGATTCATAATGTTTCCACAGCCCCGTCTGTTTTCACCTGAGACCTTTAATCAGTGTTATCT